CTGGCCACTCATTCCTTCATGAGACATTCACCAAAACATTCTAAAGTGTAATAAAGTGTTGTTATTACTCTAGCAGTTTCTTTGAAAAGGATATATCAATTTCAATACAAACGATTTAAAAGGCAAGGTTTATTTAAAATGCATGCCTATGTAAAAAGCTAAGACAAACACATGAACACATACAAATATCGTATAACTGGTTATTTGTGCGGGTGCAATTTTTTGCGTTTTAGGACTGAAAATGGGTATTTTAAAGTTTGCGATTTTTTTCCGCATTTTTCATCAGAAACGTTTATAAACTCTAATTTCTGCTGGTCCTTACAGACTGGCATATTTCCTTCGGTGAAAATACAGCATATTTCCCCCTCTTATTTGATGATTTATTGTTAGGTTTATCTTTTCCAGATTGGAAATTTCATCTGTTTTCATCGCTGGTTAAATCACTGGTTAATTCCTTACCAATTGTGTGACAAAATCCTTCATTTCACGAAGTGACAAACTTTCTAATATTGGACCATTTGGCTCCCGCAATCCTTTTCGTACCAGATATTTTAGCAGAACCATATTGGAAATAACAATCAACTTAGCATGCATACAGCCTACAAACACAAACTTGCGAAACCTTGTATACGATAAACTACATGACTTGTATAAAATGACTACATACAAACATTTCACATTTATCACATTTCTTTCTCGATGTTTATTACAGTGAGAGGCTACCAGCGGGGTGTGTGTATTGATTAAGTTAACAAGTAAATTGAGGTGACAAACGGGGTAAATTACATAGAAATTACGAAATATTTGCGAATTTAATTTTTGCGGCCGGAAGGGACCCACAAAATATCGCAGAAATTAGCTATCCGCAGAAATAACCAGTTATACGGTAGTAATAATATCATTCTGTTTCTTATTAAAGTACTAATACTTAAACCATCGTTCCTAACAAAATAAAGTTTATTCATTACAGACTTATTTTTTCTCGACCAAGTACTTTCGACTTACAATACAGACTTTCATTTACAATTTCTACTAACAACGTAGTTGACTGAAGTGTACTTTACAAATACGATTTTACTTCCATGTGCGTGCAGTCGTATCGTTATGAATAATTATCCAAGGTTATCGGAATACAAATAATAAGACGAGGAAAATTGAATATAATTTTATTTGATGATATATTCACGGCAATTTAGCCCGCATATTTCAACTTCACTATTATGAGGGTGTCACACATTATTCACTTCGTTGTATTTATCGTGATTAATTTTACATCTACTAATATCAAAGCTGGTTGCTCTGGGGATGTAAGCATATGTAATTGGACACCCTGGAAGTCATGGTCAGATTGTAGTATGACATGTGGTGGGGGAACTAAAAGACGGTATAGGCCTTATTGTTGTAAAATATATTTGGTAAATGATATCGATGCCTGCATGAAGGACTGCAATCACAACAGGGACTATTTTAATGATTATACATCTGAAACTCAATCATGTAACACAATTTGTTACAATGGTGATTACAGGAATAATGGATGCAGGTGTAGTGATGCGTTCTATGGAACATGTTGTGATAAACGTAAGTTAATAGAATATTTATTTGTATCAACCACGTTTTCTTTAAAATTTAGCTAGAAGACATTTTTTATATATGAAACTGTACATTTAATTTTAACTTTAGTTTTGAAATATATAACTACTCAGATAATAAAGTAGTTTGCCTACGAAACAACGATTTAAGTGCTAATGTTTAGATATAATTTGTATTGTTTATATATTTTGCAATTGATGATATTTGTACAAAGACAGATGTTGCTTTTGATGTTCACTTGTTCGTATATTTGCTAGAAGTAAAAAAATACATATATTTTCTGTCAGAAAATTTTGTCACATACAAACTTAATTCACATAAAATATATTATATTCATAACCTAGCATTTAAATTAATTTTAGAATAAACAAACGTTTTGGGGAATTTATATTTCGGCCGAAAACATATTTTTTACTTTCGAGTATGATCAAAAGCTTAGTAAACTGTGCATTGTCAATTTAAAGGACATCATTTTAGGATACAATGACATTATAAAATGTAAAATGGTCATTCATTTAAATTATGTTGATAAAAAATAGTTCTTCAATTAAATTTAGATATCTTTGAAGGTTTGGGTTGATATCTACAAAATAATGTGACCTAAAGCTATCAAACAGTAATATCTGCAAACAAAAAATATTGCATTTGCAAATACGATGTAGCGGCATGGCCGAGGGGTAAACACGTCAGACAAATAGACTAATGATCGCTAGCTGCATTGGTTCAAACCCGTCAGGGGCAAGTCGTTGTTCCCTTGTCCAAAAAAAACATTACACCCATTGCTAAGTACTGGTTGGTTCCTGGGACGGATTCGATAGTTTGACTATAGGCTTATGGCTTCCTATATTCTGTATGAACCAATTTTATTGATTTAGCCTGCTTTTAAAACTTTTAACAATTATATTTGATAAACACCTTTTTATTCTATTTAGCAATTCTAAAACAAATATATAATATACAGTCTTTATAGACTGAATTGTAATTGTAGAATAATTGATATAAAATAGTCATGTACTTAATTAAATGCGCATATGTATTTTAGATGGTTGCTTTCAACAAGGAACATTAACTTAGTTGATATAACGATAACCTTATTACATTCTTATACGAGCGGGATTTTACGCACGCGTAATATGGCTGCGAACGAATGGCCAGCTATGCACTGCATACATTTAGAATAACCAAAGAATTGCTTCGTGGACAAATGCCTGTTTAGATCTGCGCAGTTTAAATGAGGAAGCATAACGACACGAAAATTTCATTACATCGTACTAGTAGTACTCGTTTTATGACGTGACATGACGGGTACCCTTTAGTCAATGTCGTATTGTGCCAGGAATCAAACACCATGTATATAAGCATACATGTACAGGGGCGTACCTCGGCCTATTTTGAGTGTACGCCGAGTGCAGGTCTTTGGCCGAAGGGTCGCCAGAGATATATATTATATATAGCAAGATATGCAAAATAAGGGATTTAGGGGACATCTAAGCTAATTGCACTTCTATTGTCTTTATCTATAGTTACGAAAATAACATCATGTACATGTATTGAATATAAGAGAAATTGCACGAAGTCTAACATTGACAATGTTTTAAAAAGTTCAAAAGTTATTTACTACTAGAAAAAACATAACATAGGCAGGTGTCTCTCTATATTGTAATAAAAATGTTTAACAAGTTTTGTCTTTGTTATTGTTCTTTTGTTTCATCACAACTAAACGTGAGCTACAATCAAGGAAACATTTGCTTTAAAATGATCTGTATGACTTTAATACAAACACAACAGCTTTCATGTTTTAGTGTAACGAAATGTTATCGTATTTGTCAGCTAAGATGTAGTATCGCACGATCATTTAGGTCCCTTAAAATACTTTTAAATGCGTATTAAGTCATTGTTGAATGTTGAAAACAATAAATATTGTCTTTAACATTTTTTATTCTCAACTCTACTCCTTCAGTTTCCATTCGAAATATTTAAGCTATTTCATCACTAAGTTAAATGCCTCATGCAAATAAAATGATGCTCACCAACTCGTTATCTAAAGTTGGTGAAAATAAAATAATTGAGACGTACATCAATTGTCTTATATTGCTAGACTTTGTTCTCGTTGTATATTTGTCTATGTTGATGAGACTACGTATAATAAAGAATTTATATATGTCATTGTTTGCAGAGGTATGCAACTTATTTCTATACACAATAAATTAATACAGTAGAAACATCTTACTGTAGTGATATATTTTGTAAATACATGTATTCATTTTACGGTCAAATAAACAGAAGTTGAGTACGGTTTGTAACGATAGATGCTGGCAATGGTTCGCTGCAAAGTTTCAAAGGGCCCAAACTATTCTACACAATTTGAAATGAATATAAGATGAACGAATGTTACTAAATTAACAAATAATATACTGACTTATAGCTACAAGGTAAATTCCATATAGCTAACTCCCTTGCATTTGGCTGCAAACTCCAAGTTGCAGACAAGATCTTAATTTTGCATATAGATCTAGATGTAAAAAAATGAAATAAATGTTTAGTTTTCACTGATTTTGATTCTTCTGAAAAAAAATGATTGTAATATATTGGACACTAAGTCTTTCTTATCATTATTTTGATTTTGACGAGGTTTATTAGCATTATAACATTGATTCTTTAAAGCTTAACTCAATCTGAAAAAAGAGAACATTCCAAAGAAATTGTTTATATCATATTTTTTCATTGTGTACGTCACTCCGTGTTTCTGTTGAAAGGCCGATTTTTTTATTTTCTGAGTTTAAAAGTCTCATCTTTCGCATAGGGTGGTATAAACTGAAATTTTAAAGATACTTCAAACCATACCTCATGAAAAACACTGATTTCTCGGATTCGAGACTGACACAACAATAGAGCAAGTGATAGAAAGAGCATCGAAACACGAAGCTATCTGATTTGTACATAAAGGTAAATAAAGTACATTTTTTATTTATGCATGGTTCGTACCGCATATATCGGAGAATATAGCTTGAATGAGATAAAAAATGACCCAAAACACTAGTCGAAAAGTAAAGATATGTAACTAAGGCTAATTTTTATTGTTTATTTAATGTTGAAAAGCAATTCAAAGTGGTTCAAATCCTAATTAACAAGTTCATAAAACAGCCTTAGGCATGGGAAAGTGCAGGAATTGCGCGCTGTATGATGATTATTTAAGTCTTTCAACAACGACGCAATCGCTGCGCCAATAAATGTGCTTCAAGTTTTCTGTCATCATTGTGTTGTAACTTATAACGTTTTAATTGAAGTAAAAGTATGTGCCACCTGAAATATGCCATTAAGAACAAAACACAGCAATAAATTATATACACATACACGGCTATGATACAGGCTATATTCCAAGTATATCCATTGACGAAATTATAATAATGCAATGTTCAATTGACGACAAGTTTATAGAAAGAAAAGACGGGGAAAAGACGCAAGAACGGAAGATGATGTCAGAGGAACAAAGGCTACCCGAACGTTGTGCTATCTAAAGTATTTCAGCTATAAATTCATAAATAATATTAAATATAGTGATTTTGTCCTAATCTTGTTTCATTATCATCAGTTGGCCAATCACTGTTGTAACAGTGAATGTTTTGAAATATACATGTATAATATAATATAAAATCCATCTCACCTTGACAATAGAAATATAATCATAATATCACATAAAAGCTATTATATATTCATTTAACACACGCATCATAGCAGATGAAGACACCATTGTATACGTTTGTCTAATTATATTTTTATAACAGAAATATTGCAGTAAATGTATGGAGTATACTTGAAAATCTCAGCAGGTTTTTTCTGCCAAATCACAACTTGGAGAATAAACGTTTCTAATCTATAAATAAAAACCATACACAGCAACATTATGTATCGTTGAAAAGATAACATTAAATTATGACTATAGTAGCGAAAGGAAAATTTAATATGTTTTTGAATTTAAATTAACATACTGTTAAATGATCTTTATCAGTTCAATTCTGGTGTTATTGTATAGTGTCCATTAATAAGTCTGACATGTTTGTTGACATGAACTCACAGCAGATGTATGCATGACAGGATTCATTTAACGTTCTGACAAGTTCATTTGTTGCTACAAACGTATCATTTTATATATCAGTGATCGTGATAATTTGCTCAAGTTTCCTTTATGCATTGATCTTGCAAAATTCATGTTGGGTCTAATGTGCTTTCGGCTGGTTCAGTACATTTGTTAGAACAAATGGATATCGTGGGCAGTTTTTGTTCCTGTATTTGTGGTGGAGGAACCAGATATCAAACTCGTTCGATTTGTTGCGATAGTGATTATAATTTTGATGAATGTTTAGACGACTTGAGTATTGAAATGGCAGTTTACGTCAAGAAGTAAAATGTAATACATATTGTTAAATGGATGTCAATTTAAAAATAGTCAGTGCCATTTTACGGGACGTGTTGTTATGGTTTATCATTTTATCAATTTTGCCATTTGTAAATTGAAATTAATTTTACATCTCATTGTGTTCTTTTAATCTGATACATTTGATTTTATATACATTGTATTGTTTTATGACTATTTGGCGATAATGAACATTGATATTGTAAGCATACATGTTGTTCAATGATAAATATATGTGATGTTATGACATACTGAAAACTGATATTTTCAGAGTGCCCGCATATTGAGCACTGTAAGAGGAGAAGTTGCAGTTCATCATGGAACACTAAGTGCCTTGAGTGTAACTATGATCAAATCCTGTTCAAGAAAACACAGGGCGACACAAAATGTGAACGTAAGTTGTTGCACATAAGTGAAATGAAACTGTTCTTTTTTGTATAAATGTACAATTGTCATAATATAAGTTCTTCATAAATTCATCTTTCAAATGTCTGAAAACAATCCTGGTATGATGTAACTACATTTATGGGTAAAGAAAGAGAATAATTGTTAATACCCCGAATAATTTGCATCTATATTGATAGAGTAAATTATTTTGAAACAAAAGAAATATCAATTTAAAATTATGGTAATGGTGGAACATATGATTGATTAAAATATATAGAATGATATTGTATATTATGTATATTTAATGAATAAATACATCAAATGTTGATCATTTTGTCCTAGTTAACAAACGAGACGCATCCGTGAAAATTGAATTAAAACTATGATATGTAGTAGGTAAAAGTAACTGTCTCGAAACAGTATACATTTTTAATTTGAATTAGAAAAAACAATATCATATATCATGTTAATGCCTCTTTGCTGGTATTTAATAGTTCATGGGAAAATTATGTGACATTAAGTTCTTATTAGGGGAGGCACATGATATATGAGCCGCGCCATGACAAAACCAACATAGTGCGTTTGAGACCAGCATGGATCCAGACCAGCCTTCGCATCCGCGCAGTCTGATCAGGATCTCTGCTGTTCGCTTACCAACACTATTACAAGTGGAGAAACTGACAGCGAACAGCATGGATCCTGTTCAGACTGCGCGGATGCGCAAGTTGGTCTGTTTCCATGCTGGTCGCAAACCCATATATATTGCTTGTTGGAAAACTTGTAAGTGAAATAGAGGATAGATCCCCGACCCTATTATTTTTCTATAACATGGACACTAAACGGAGTCACATGCTGGGCATCCAAAAGTTCTATGACCAAGGATGTTAATAAAAATATATATCCGCCTAATTTCAACGCAATATGGAAATGATTGGATTGTTTTTATAGGCCCGAAAAATGTCTAGATTGCAAATTAAATAAAGTTTCCTTTTAAAAGGAAAGGCTTGCTCAGTTATGCCATCATTCCATCCCTTTAAAATTTGTTTTTTTTTGTTTCAATTTATTAACACATTTTTTTTTTAATTACGGTAATTGTATATCATAAAGGGTTTATGTAGTTTTCTTTTCTTTTTTTTCTTTTTTTTTTCGAAAAAAAAAGTTTCACTTTTAAAGGGATAGGTAGGGTAAGCCCAAGACTGGACGAGCACCTGTGCCCATTTGTTTGAGCACCAGCGTTATGCATGCACATTTGGACAAAAGAAGGACCAGAAGTCCACTGATTATAACTGAACAGAAACATGCTGAAGATAACAGTAACAACTTTTTTTGTAAAAACGAATATTTTTTTGTCAAAAACGATTTGAAATCTCTTCTCTATTGTATAAAACTAATAAAGAAAGTAAACAATCGTAAAAATAATAACATTGGCTCTCCCAAGTAAGATCTATCTATCATACTGAAGGAAAGGAAAACAAGTGTGCGCATTTCATTTCCACTTTTTTCGCAGAGTCATTCGTTTTGGCAGTTGCTAATTTCATTTATGTAGCAGCTTTATAGACAAGTAAATTCACTAAAAGACTTCGTTACGTGTACCAATTAATAATCATGTATCAACTATGTTACACGATCACAGATATACCGACAACACAGGATGCGCTATCTGTAGATCAGCACGTGGTAAGGTTAATGATAAGCATGGGCTATCTTTAGATTACCTCACCAAGACGTTTAAACTCTACGTTAGAATTGCGTTTAAATAAAAGACTCAGTAGATCTAAATATAACTCGATCATGCACTAATATTCTGTGTGATTCGGTCACGATCTGTTTTAAGCAGGACCACCCTTTGGAGACGGAATACTACTACGGTAACCATTCTCTATTGTATAAAACTAATAAAGACAAAAACCAATTATAAAAGAAACTAACTTTTGCGTCTTGAAAAAGAATTGAAACGGAACAGTTTCGTTTATTATTTATTTCTTCCTTCTACGTACGCTTTAAACCGATAAATCAAGTAAAAATAGAAATCATATTTATATAAACAAACTGGGATTGCCGAAGTAACTAAAATAGCTTATATTTCCGTAATATTACTTCGTCTGATTCCGCAGTATGACGCAATCGCCCGAATTGTCACGATTGCAATCAGAACTGCCTCGGCTATTACCTTAATTCGAGGAGTGGCGGAAAGGTCCGAAAAGTTGCGATTGACACGATTGCAGCGGAAACATAGACTGGTTTCCCGTTCAATCATGCACTAACAAATGTAAGCAGGAAACCACCTAACCGGAACAACTTTTCCAAAACAAATGGCTTGGGGCCGTGACCGCAAGCCAAAAATATTCCCCGCTACGGAGGTAATTTGATATTAATCTATATACATGTATAATCATAAACGAAAGTCTTATTGAGTGCAATTGAACACTAGAAAAGATATATCAATCTTGCTTTTTGATCAAAATTGGCTCCTCACCGGATATCGTTTGATGTAAGTCGATTTTACAAGGAAAACATATTTTAGTCTTATTTTGAGCTATTGTGATGCCCCTGCGTCAGTAGTCAGTCGTCGTACGTCGTACGTCATGTATCATGCATCGTAAACAATTTCTTTTAACAACATCTCATCTAAAATCAATGACTACACATTAACCAATCTTTACATGAATGATCCTTGGGTGGTCTCTTTTCAAATAGTTCCGGTCTGTTGCATAAGTAGGTGACGGGGCCAGAAAAGAAGCTACTAAAATGCAAATTAAAATATCTTCTTGTCTGAAAGTACAAGGCACGGAGCTTTTGTATTTAGTACTTGAATGATATCGTCTGTACGTCATCTTCCAAAGTTGATCCAATTTTACCTCTAGTGTCTAATTTGGCTAATAGGTTTTCCTTATCTGTATATAGGAAAGACTTAAATATATTCTTCTCTTTAAAGACAACGACTAGAAGTTAGATATTTGTATGTATAAGTAGATCTCTACCAAGAGTGAAACAATTATAGCTCTGAGATCAAAACATGTCTTGCCCCGGGAATCATTTATTATCATAATATGCATATAGTAGAAACTTAAACAAATCGTCTTTTCTGAATTGACACAGACTAGAGCTCATATTTTGGCATGAAACATCGTCAATGTCAATTATCAATGTTGTACAAATTTTGTCTCTATAATTAAGTAAAATTGGTCCCATCCCGGGGGTTATAGGTTTTCCTGATATGAAAAAGTAAAAACGTAAAAAATCTTCTATGTAATTACAAAGGCTTAGATATGTGGCATTAAACATTGTGTACATCTATAAAGATTGTTCACAAGTTATGGCCCTATGGAACTCCGCCCTGGTGGTGATGAGTTTTCTAATTATATCATTAAACAGAAACAAAAAAGTTTTCTGAAATTTTAAAGAAGAATGATAGAGCTTAGATGTTCTATATGAAACATTGTCTGGTAGACTTGTCTCAAGAATTTTCTGATTTAAGCCTTGGGGTCAAACTTTGGCCCTGCCTAAGATGACACAGTGACATTCTTTCTTGATGTACAGCTATAACATTTGGACATTTTGAGAAATTGAAAACACTTCCTTTCACTGTTTTTTCACAAATAACAGTCTGTCCTCAGGTAAGCACTTTGGGCCAATGACCCCCTTGTTTGTGCATTGTAGTGTAGAAATGTTCGATTAATCATTCAAATGCTTTGTAATTAATCATTCACGCCGGTGTTACGTTGTAAACTGACCCCCATAAAATAATAACCCCGGTCAATATTTTAAATAATGACACCGGTCATAATATTATGACCTGGGAGTCATAATATTATGACTCCCCTACATGTAGAAAAATGACCCTCGCATAGAATAGTGACCCCCTGTAGAATAATGACCCCCCCAAACCCACAATAAAAATCCCTTATTTTGATTCTTTCAAGAAACACTGTCAATATAATTATCTCAGATGAGAAATATGGTAATGTCACTTGTCCGTGCGTGTGTCCGTGCGACCGGGCAACGATTCGACCAAATCTTTTCGACATTGTTTAAAACTCTCGGGGATAGCTACTACAATCGAAGCCAGGCTCAGTCTGCATTTTTGACAAAATGACAACGTTTAGGGATTTGTCATTCGACTGCAGTCCTTGTTTGTTCTTATGCGCTCGACTATACGAAGTATATGGAGAGCTGACCTACTCCCCCGACGTCGGCGTCCAGATTTAAGATTAAAGTTTTAGTGCAGTACAATATATTTCACTATAATTTTCATTTCTTATGATATCCACTTGAAACTTCAAATATATGTCCCTTATCATCAACCATATCTTACGTGACAAAGTTCATAACTCTAGTACCAATATTGTCAGATTTATCTCCCCTTGAACTTAGAATTTTTCTTAAAACTATTATTGTTTACTGTTACTTCTTTATCTCTTAAGGGATCAACTTCATACTTCAAATATAAGTCCCCAATCATAAGCCACATCTTAAGTGACAAGGTTCATAACTCTAGCACTAATATTTTCAGATTTATCTCCCCTTGAACTTGAAATATTTTCTTTTATTGTTACTTATTTATCAATTAAGGAATAAGCTTCATACTTCAAATATAGTTTCCTTATCATTAACCACATTTATGTAATAAGGTTCATAACTCTAGCACCAGTTTTTCAAGAATTATCTCCCAATGAACTTAGTTTTTTTTACTTGGAAAATGCTAATTTTTACTATAACTTCTTTACCGTGTTAAATTTTAAAGGTATCTACTTCAAACTTCAAACTCATATTCCTTATCATCAACCACATCTAATGTGACAAGGGTCAAAACTCTTGAAGCAATATTTTCAGATTTATCACCCCTTAAACTTAAAATTTTCTTAAAGAAATATTATAAATTCTTTATCTTTGAAGGTATCTTCTTCAAACTTCAAATTTATATTTCTGATCATTACCCACATGTTGTTTGATAAGGTTCATAACTCTACCGTGTTTATTTCCAGAATTATTCCCCCTTGAACTTGGAATAAAAATTTACAAATGCTATTTTTTACTATAACTTCTTGTCATATGAATAAGAGTTATAAAACTCGAGCTCCTGTATTCCCAGAATTATCTCCATTTCATTTTTGAACTTAGAAATCAATTGTAAATGGTTTGTTTTTTTAGTTTTATCTTTGTTATTATAAATGGTATTTACTTTGGACTCAAGATAATTATTTGTTCTTTGTCATTACTCACATCATGCATGCATGACAATGTTCATAACTCTAGCATCTTTTTCAAGAGCTATTTCCTCTTTGAACTTATAATTTTACTTTAAAAACATCAAATTCTTTTTGCTTTTATCAGTTTTGTTTTTGAAGGGATTGGCTTCAGATTTAAAATTGCTGTCTTTTCCATTAAAGCATAGAAAATTCTGTTTAACATTTATTGACACGGTCATATGCTGTACAAAATCATAGAACATTTGAGTACTATCTCTTGATACTGATACAGAGAGATATTTATATCATAATTGATTTTGCTTTCATAGTTTTGTCTTCCTTACTGCGTCCAGTATTTAATAAAGTCGAGCTTCGCTGTCTCCTGTGACAACTCTTGTTTTTAACTTATGATTTATCTTCTCAAAATTTATAAAACTATTAGGCAATCCATCTCATCACTTCGCGCCTAATTTTAGGGGTACATGTATATATGAGTATCTTATTGGTCACAAAAATATAGAGGAATTTTTGACATCACTTCCATAGCTGTCATTAAACATAGTCCTTTTCTATGCCCCGATCGCCTTTTTACAATAAAAATGAAATATTTGCTGTCAGTTACATCTTTTTTTTTAATGAGACCGTGAACTATTTTTTTTACATTTCAGACCAAATCACCGTTTCCAGTTTCAGAATGCTTACATTTCACTGCACACATGGTATACATATAATGCTAATATGCCCTTTTAATGAAGAAGCAAATATCAATAATAACATCAACCGAAGTCGGTATTGCTTCATTTTTAAAAGATGTGTTATGTAACCGCATTTCAAAGAAAATTGTATGACGGTATTTTGCCAGACCGACATTAGAATTTTTTTGCACTGATGGTTAGACAACTTTCCTTCATTTTGTGCGACTCAGATATTGCATTTTTCTTGAGAGCCATTAACATAGATATTAAAGTAACATGACTGTCATGTAAGGCGAAATGTCATTATTAATGACGTACACTAAATGGTTTTAAAAGTTCGCAAGAGAAGAACCATAGACGATTTTTACGGTGGAAAACTAAAAACGACATAATGAGGTGTTTGTGCCACTAATTTGTGTCACAAGCGAAAAGTCGTGAATTTACAAGTGAAAATGGCGAGGGCGCGGAGCAAAAATACGCTAATTAGCGAAGGCGCGGGGGTGCGGGGGTGCGGAGCGAGATTTAAGAAATGAAATGGCGGGGGCGCGGAGCGAAAACACGCTTATTAGCGGATTCGCGAGGCGGAGCTCAATAAATAAAAATTCGTCTTGTCCCCCCTCACTTATTTGCATGTTTTCGTCCCGCGACCCCGCCAAGTGAACAGTCGAGAATTAACAAGTTAAAATGGCGGGGTCGCGAAGCGAAAAGACGCCAATTAGCGGGGCTGCTTATCAGCATGTTTTCGCTCCGCGCTCCGCCGTTTTATTTCTTAAATATTTTAAGTTATTTTATTGAACTTTGCCCCGCGCCCCCACTACTTAGCGTGTTTTCGCTCCGCGCCCCGCCATTTTATCTTGTTAATTCTCGACTTTTCGCTGAGCGGGGTCGCGGAGCGAAAACACAAATGGCAAAATTCAGCCACCATACACAACGAACGACAGTCATTTTATCAAGGGATATAAAATCACAGATTTGGATATATTATTTCGATTCTTACACGATATCAAGAAATAAATGCTGCCGTACCGAATATAAAGCTAAATTGGGTCCAATTTGTTTCCGTACTTATTTTCAGTGCGTCGCATTTTTACTGACATGTCTAATGGTTACGTCAAATGTCTAAATAAAGGACGTCAACAGTGATTTTATTGCATAAAAACCTTCTATGTTAAAAAATGCGGGTCGTGTTGGAATATTTCTTAAATAACAAAACGTCAAACCAACCATTTTTGCACATTTGTATTTGGTTTGTATCTACACATAATGTTTTTCTTTAATTGCTACCCAGCAGGCACATCAACGTTGTTTCAACGTTGAATTATGGTCAGATTTCAACGTTGATATAAGGTTGGATTTATATTCGGATTTGAAAGTTGAAACAACGTTGAAATTTCAACGTTGATACAACGTTGCAGCTTCAACGTTGGCACAACGTTGTAGTTTCAATGTCATTTCAACGTTGAAACCCACCATACTTTAATTTTTGGATATAAAGCAAAGTAACCAAGTTTAACAAAATATCAAGACAATATTAAATACTTCAGATATTTTATTTCAAAAATACAGTTCAAGTGCAGCTTAAATTCACTTTAATAGTTTTATCAATTAAACTACAATCTGTTCCAATCTTTTCTTCTAGATCTTTCTGGGTATGTCAAGTGTTTGAGTACTTCTTTGGCTGTCTCTTACTGCTTCTGCAAATAAAAATAAGAAGTTTTAGTTAAAAGTGACTTGGTCAATCTCAAATTATACATATAATTACTCAACTTAGTGATTTGTTTTTATCTTAAAATGCTTTTCTCTAAGATTTACATCATAAAACAGCATAGAAATTGAAACATAGCTAAGTTTCTTATTGACAGCAAATACTGTATATAAGACAACAAAATCTTTTTTAAAAAGCAGCTATTTAAAAGTCTCACCTATGATTGGTAAGAAAAACTGCTCCCCGTCAGTTCCTTGCAGCATATTCCCAAGAAATCAACATTCTAAGCTCTAGCTAAGACCATTTTATGCAGCATCCTGAAATCAAAAAACATGTAAATTTTATATAAATAATGTTACACGAATATTCCGAAAATAATATATTTTAAGACAAAATAATATCCAGTTGTTGAAAAATTTATACTTTGTATAGTAAAGAAATTCAAATATAAAAATTAATAAGAATAAATTTCAATTTAACAAACCTGACAGTCCTTTTAATGTTGAATGTATGGTATACAGGCTACAGCTCCAATACTCTGAATTTCAACCAGGACCAGGATCTAGAATATAAAATAATATATAATAAAATAGAAATAGATTTCTCATTCCCCAAAAATTTACGACTATTAAACTTTAAAGTTTAACACTCAAATTTGTTATTTAACTTAATAATAATGTTTTTTTTTCAAACTAATTAACACTGTATTATTCTATCACTTAAAAATAAACAAGGATATATTGACGAATCGTCTTGGGACGTAAATCATGTGGGCCGAACTACTTTATAGGTTTCAATTTTATAATTGATTAAATTCTAATTAGGATATAGTACAGACAATTGTTTAAAAATATGAAAAATAAATTAAAGAAAGACAAGATTTGTAAAATCATAAATTGCCAAGGACATCAATAACTTCATGCTTACAAGGCCTACCGATCATCTTAAAATTAGGTCGCGAAAACGTGTCAAATCAACTCAATCATGTGTTTTCATCTCTCATTTATTTCATAAAATAAATTAAAGTAGAATTTTAAGAAAAAATAATAATATTTTAGAAAATAATCAGTAAACTAAAGTTAAACATTACGGTAATACCTCCAAAATCCAAATAAATTGCCAATCGTGTTGTTTTCAAATTTTCCAAACAGCGCCACCATTTGCACGAACGATAATCATAGACAACAACCAAAAGTATAGACTGCAACAATTACTTCCCCTGACAAGCGTTATTTTATAAACGGGATTTTGACTAATATCAATTTATTAATTAATATTATTCATAAAGACATAAAAAATAAAGCAACAAACAACAAAACATATTAACTAATGTTTAAAGCGTTAATAGAAAGTGAAAAATTATTTCCAACTTTATTTGTTTCAGCGCTAATTTTGAATATACGGAAAAAGATTGTAACGCAAATTTTCCTGACAAAAATCACTTACAGACTAATTCAATAAAGGAATAATAACACAAAATTAGTGGTATAAAAGTTTATATAATGATTACACTAAATGTAAAACTTCGACCATAAACAACGTTGAATCAACGTTGTATATACATTGGCTATATATCCGTATGGTCGTCCATAGTTGAATATTGGTTGAACAACGTCATGACCATATTTCAACGTTGTTTCAAAGTTGAAACAACGTCGAGTGCCTGCTGGGTAATGATCAGTCATTTATCTTCTTAAGCTGACTTGAATTATGCTGAATACAACTCAGTGAAAAACTTCTTGTTCTTAAGTAGCTCTATGTTAATGAAATACTCGTATAACATTCATTTAATTGAAATGTAACGAAGCAAAACAACTATAAATATGTGATAAAGCTATTTTTCCGAGATCCGAACATTTACAAAACGAACGCTATATCACTGCGCCATTAAGCATATATAATTAAGTAAGAGTGCTGCTCGTAGAAAATATTCAGGTGATAAATGTTTGCTTAATATGCACGGATTGTGTTACATTAAGTTCTAGAATTAAGTGATATAGAACTGATTTCTTTCAGTCAAAAAACCTTTTTACCTATAAAAAGATGATGGCCTATATATAGCTGAATTGCCTAAATACGGGCAAAATATGTAGAACAAAAAAAGAAAAATAGATTTCTTTGCTCTGAGCTTTGAACTCGTTCTTTACCGAAACTCTGTGTTCTCACTGACAATTAACACTCTTTCGGATAGGAGAATTTTGCATTAAGCATTTTAAACTTTAAATTTCATTTTTTTAGATGTTCGTTTATTGTTAGCGGGACCTCTGAATTAGACCTTTGTTTTGTCAGCTGTTCTCGTGGCTTTAGCAGCACCAGTACCAGAAGCTGCAACAGGCACAACAACAGCAACAACACGTACACGCAATTGTAATATGACGTTGACTTTTCAGATTATATTAAGTGGGAGTCGATATTTAGGGAGTCATTATTTTATATATAAGGGGGTCACTTTTTTAAAGAAGGGGTCACTATTTTATATAAAATAATGACCGGGGCTCATTATTCTATGGGGGTCACTTTACAACGTTACACCGGCTTTAAAATTGTTATATATTTTCTAAATAAACATCTTTGGTAGAGCTCAATACATAACTGATGTATTTGCTTAAATTACCCCAAAAAGCTAATAGCTATAAAATCAGGCGATGCACATGTCATGTGGACATAACTAAAAACACTGTCAAATCGATATATTGACACATATTTAAAGTTCATATTTAAGAAACATTATTTCATTCAAACAGTCAGTAATTTGTTAATTAAAATCTATTTAAAATCTAAAAACAAATTTATCTGTATACTTGTATTTCAGCAATTCCTCAGAATTTAACACTACTTCTAGAAAATTCACCAAGCAAAGACCAAGATCTAACTAACAATGCAGTTACTTTAAAGTGTACTACTGGGTGTATTTTTCCAACTCCATCATTTATATGGTATTATTTGCAGGTAATATATTCACGAGAAAACGGGAAAACTATGATTTCTTTTTTTCTTATTTTCTCGTTTTTGGGCCAGAACGATCCACTTTGAAAAACACTAATTACCAGGCACTTATGATATTCTTTTTTTCCTTTATTTGATAAAAAGATAATGAACGTATATACTAAGTGATTTTGAGAGTTGAGTTAAGCGGTTTGTATATCTTTCTGTTTATCTTATTTCCGTTTATCTTATTATCATAAAATGACGAGAAAAACACGTGCTTTGGGCACACTGATGATAAATTTAGTAACTCATGTCAAATTCTATATAGCTGAAAATTGTTACAATTTATATTCTTATTTATTAGTCGTCCGATGAATCTGGATCTAAATGGTCAAATTCAGAGCCTGTCACAGAAACGCCCGGGCAATGTAAAGAATCAAAAAAGATATTCACCTCTACTTTAGTACTTCGAAAATACACGGTGTTTAATGACAATACTGACCATACCGTCAGGTTCCAATGTGGTGCAACGATTATAAATGGTACCTCTGGTGAAGTTAAAACACATTCATCTGTAAATATCAGATTTGCCGGTAAATGATTATTATGCTAGCATTTTACGCCTGTGCCGCTGTTTTGTAACATATATTTGTTTGTACACCATCATCTTAAGGAATTGTAAGAGCTTAACAAGATCATGAGACTTTCAATTTTCCATTTACATGATTGCTTTATTTATTTGTCCTATTTATTGTTATCGAAGGATCTACCGTTTCCAGAACTGGTGTTGTATTGCAGTGGAAAAAAACGTGTGTATCCTTCATGTTATTTATTCCAGTACTTTCAGTGTTATGGACTGAATACCATGAAGGACGTTAATTCAGTTGAGTGCGTAATTGTCAACCATTTGCTTTGTTTCTGATGCTTTAAAGGACTCTTCTCTTTATAGTATAATATTTATTGAACTGGTGTTTGTTTATAAGCTTAACTATAACTCCTAAGTAATCTTGATTATATTTTGATATACTATGGTAAAATTCATACAAGTTTTGTCTTTGTTTTTACAGTTAGAGTGGCGAAGGTATCGCTTAAGATTGGAAATAGTTCTAGGGTCAGTTCTCTAAACGTTACCGATGGTATTTCGGAAATATTCAAATGTACAACTAGCGATAGCAGACCATTACCTACAATTGTATGGCATATAGGACAGACAGAAAAGAAAAGAGTTGTCGGTACGGAATCAACCCTTGCATTCATACCTAGTATTACGGATAGTGGCAAGGAAGTGTATTGCAAAGCTTTCAATATTCAGCCAGAAAATGAAGCACTGTCTTCCAACAAAGTTTCTCTCTATGTTAAAGGTAAATGCAATTATGTATCTATTTAGGTATAATAAATTATTGTTCTTTTATATATTTTTATATGTTTATACTTTTATGTCTGTAAAGAAATAAATACACAACAATATTTCGTATAACCTGACAAAATTTGAAAAGTTGCTTCATGACGTTTTACGATTGAAACACATTTGAGCCGCGTCACGACAAAACCAACATAGTGCATTTGCGATCCGCGCAGCCTGATCAAGATCCATGCTGTTCCCTTACAAACCCTATTACAAGTAGAGAAACTGATAGCGAACAGCATGGATCCTGACCAGAATGCGCAAATGCACAGGCTGGTCTGGGGCCATGCTGGTCGCAAACCCATTATGTTGGTTTTGTTATGACGCGGCTCATTTTATTTTGAATTATTGAAAAAATATTCAATGGAAATATATTACATGACAATCATCTATGCATTTTCGTTCATCTAGAGCGTGCGTCAGTGCATTCGTTATATGTTGATGAACATGTTGGTGAAACAAACGTTACGATCGACGAGAATTACGTTAACTTGCAACTTACGTGTAACATAAGCGGTAACCCTGCATCAAGTGTGGAAATTAAGTTCGAAGAGAAAAGTTTAATTGAAAAGGCTAACATAAACGAATTGAGATTTGTTCGTCACAGAGTGGCTTGTTTCCACAGGGGTGAATATATATGTGTAGGAAAAGATGAATTGGGAGTTATAACAAATAAAACACTCAATTTGTTTGTCAATTGTAAGTACATTTGTTTGTGTACATCATAAAATACTGCTTAAAGTAAAAATATATGGGTATATAGGAGACATAAATGTTCAAACACTCACGAATAAGACCACTTCTAAAGAAACCAAATCTAGATCCTAACGAACTGAAAAACTATAGGCCTGTGTCTAACTTGCCATTCCTGTCTAAAATCTTGGAAAAGGTCGTTGACGTACGAATTGAGAGCCATCTGAAGACAAATAATCTACACGAGGTCAACCAATCTGCTTATCGCAAGTTCCATTCGCCCGAGACTGCATTGTTAAAAGTTCAAAATGACATTCCACGGTCTTTGGATAATAACAATGTGACTATTCTCGTGATGCTTGATTTGTCTGCTGCTTTTGATACAATTAATCACGGAACGCTCCTTCGCCGCCTTGAACGACACTTTGGAATTACAGGCAAGCCACTCGCATGGATGACGTCATACCTGACCGACCGATACCAGACTGTATGCATAAACAACAAACTATCACAGCCAGTCCACATGGAATACAGTGTACCTCAAGGGTCTGTCCTGGGACCCAAGAGCTATGTGATGTATACGAAACCTGTCGGAGAAATCTGCCGTAAACATGATCTAAACAACCATTTCTTCGCAGATGACTCACAACTCTATCTATCCTTCAAACCAGTGACTAATATTTCAATTCAAGAGAAGATAAACCGTATTGAAAGATGTCTTGAAGATATTGTAAGTTGGATGAATGCCAACATGCTGAAGCTAAACGGCGACAAAACAGAGTTGATCATCTTCTCATCTGAACATAACGCACAACCTGTTTCAGATGTTACAGTAACAGTTGACGGTTCGAAAATTAGCCAGTCATCTAGTGTGCGCAATCTTGGTGCATTTCTTGACTCGAACATGAGGATGGAACAACATGTAAATAATGTCTGTAGGAACTGTTATGCACAATTAAGACAAATCGGTCACATCAGACCCTATCTTACTGTTAAAGCAACCAAATCTCTAGTAAATTCACTTGTTACTTCTAGGTTAGACTACTGTAATGCACTGTTATATGGAGTCTCTAAGCAGTCAATGACCAAGTTACAACATGTTCAAAATACAGCAGCTAGAATTGTGACCAAAACACTCAAATATGACCACATAACACCTATCTTACGTGAACTTCACTGGCTTCCGGTAGAGTATCGGGTCGAATATAAAATTTTGACTTATACATATAAATCCCTCATCGATCAATCACCAGCCTATATAAAGGACATGATAGACGTGTACATCCCAGTCAGAAATCTGAGGTCCCAGAATAACTCAATGACATTAGTTGTGCCTAAATCTCGGACAGTACGATATGGTGACAGGTGCTTCCAGACAGCCGCAGCGAAATTATGGAACGCGTTACCACCTGACATTAGAGACTGTAATACCTTGCCATGTTTTAAGAGAGCTCTCAAAACACATTATTTCATAAAGTTCTATGGACGTTAATTCATGAATCATCATACATGTACTACTTTTGCTATATTATCAGTGTTAATTTTAATTGAGCCTTGATTTTAAACTAAATGTGTCTGTATTTCTAACCATCCTTTACTGGTTTTAGATTATCATTATTGTTTAATAGTTTTTCTTATTTAATGTTGTACATTATGTCTTATATATATATGATTATGTTTTATCGGATTTATGTAAAGCACTCTTGAACATTTATTATTTATGAAAAGAGTGCTATAGAAATGTGGTATATAATAATAATAATAATTATAGCATAAAATCGGCTATTTTCCCCTATTTTGCCCATGTTATAACGGGACCAAAACCATGTGTTAACATAGTCACGCGCTCTTGTTATAGCCCGGTTTCACCTATGCGCAATACATACAGGGCCCAGTAAACAAACAAAAAATGACGATTTTGCCTGTTTGCCAAAGAGTCATGCGCTCTTGTTATATTGAAATTTATTGATTCGAGGGCCTCAGTCGCATATTCAAGTAAATATGCCGGAAAAAACGGCGTAAAGACATCGGTGCTAATCTTGGTTGTCGCCCTTTCTAAGAAACGGACAGTTGTCAATGTAAACAAATACAGTACAGTAGAATCTACCTGTCATTCAGTTTAAAACTCCGATTAACTTACAAAACTAGATAACACAAAATTAATATGAGAGAATGTTTTTTATTTATGTTAATGTTGATAAATGCTCTTTATATTTCTTTGAGAGAATAATGCTTAGTGCCTAATTTTTTTATAAACTTGTTTGCTTGAAAAAAATAAACCGATTCTGATGTCACTCATCAATCTGAAATCATTCTAAGAATTTATGAGGGTCATGTTTTGTCTTGGGTAGAGGGTAGAGTAATGTAACCTGTTTTTTTCTTGAGATAATAAATCTCCAAAGGCAAAGCTTTGTTAAATCAATTAAAATTCAAAATTTCGTTCGGTTCCGAGAAAGTTGTTGGCCCCACAGGTGCTAGTTGCATTGATTTGACCTGAAATGTGTTTGACCTTGTTATTTATACAATAAAATATCAATATATTAAAAAAAAAAAAATAAAAAAAAATTTTTTTTTCACTGTTATATTATTATTGACAAGGTATGCAACATTCAGGTACGAAAATTATGGGTACGCCGGTTATCTGTGTTAAAATTTTTCACCGGGCGGTAATATCGTCGGATTTTTGCATGGAATCAATGCACAATATATTTTTCTATTACAATTTACTATTTACAGATGTATAAATAACAAGGTCAAACACATTTTAGGTCAAATCAATGCAACTAGCACCTGTGGTTGGCCCCGGAAAAATGAAACGCATACGTAAAACATAGAATTGGATAAATACCGTCCAAGCACAAGAATTTAATGTAATTGTGTTTTGTATAAACTATACATCACGAATCTGTTTGAAAATTTTATGCTATAATAGCGTCAACGCACGTTTATTTCGTGTAATAAAGTCTGCAGAGTCCCTCGGAACTGTTGGAGCCCTCGCCCTACCGGGCTCGGGCACCAACCGTTCCTCGGGACTCTGCAGACGTTATAACACGGAAAAACGTGCGTTAACCCTATATAATAATAATAATAAATATAGATAATATTACCCCCAATTTATCAGCGTGCGAAGAAACACACACTATATTATATTTTTAGCCTTTGATTAATTCTTCTCGTTAACATTATGCATCGATAGAAATGCTTAGCTGTCAATAAGAGTAAAACAGTGTTTCTTTATTTAAGGTCTTCCACGGCTTGATTGGCAAGCAATTTCGAATACAACTTGCTCTATTGGCGCGCCTGTTACATTAACATTTACTGCTAGTGCATATCCAACGCCAAGTTCTGATGGTTTCAAATGGTACCAAAAAATCTCGAATGAATGGATACCATTACAAAGTAATAAGGATGTACAAATATCTGTAATAGGACTGGAAACAAACCTAAAGATTTTTAATGTAACGCAGGCAAACCCAGGCCAATATCGATTAACAGTTGAAAAAAGCATCGGAATATATAACCAGTATTATTTCCTTATTGAAAAAGGTAGGTTTCATGATTTTTGTATAACTATCGATGTTTTATTTTGTACTGTGTTGTATTGTTTTCATATTAATGTGTTTTCCTTGAATAATTGTCAAAACAATTTGTAGAAGAAAAATCGTAAAGCAATTTACTGGTGAGTATCACTGGCAAATACGTATCATCAAAACGTTGGCAACTTGAAGATTTATTGATCCATTTGTATAAACATGTATGAAAATATCATTTATTCGATAATAAACAATTACTTTTTAGATGACCCCAGTGTTGATGTTGGCATAGAAACTATGGTCAGTAGTAATTTCAAAACTGCCACAATAGTATTGGCAATAATTTCTGTTATATGTGCTGGTACTTCAGCTGGCATCGTGATTTGGTTTAAACGAAAAGCCAAAGGAACAGGTAACTATGTCGTTACGACTTTGATGATCGCCATCTGTATCATATCTATTTTTTATATTTTCAATTCCGGTAGTATCATTGTATATAAACAGGTTAGGTTTTAATCCAGATTATGATTTGACAATGGTAGACACATAATTTTGTATTATATTTTGTTCACACTATAAATCTAAAGTTATGTAAATGCGCAACCAAAAATAAAACAAAATCAGATGCACATGTATGTCTACATTTTTGGCAGTTTGAAAGATTTAAACAGTTACTGCAATCATAAAAAATAATGAAGTCCAAATTAAATAGCATTTATTACATGTATGTGATAAAGTAACCGCCTTCTATTATGTTTTAGTCGTTGAATTCCTATAAAGCATTTATCTTTAATGCCATTTATACATTTCACATTAATGTTAAGGTTTTAAGTTTAATATGTTTATCAGTATACCATAACTTGCAAAAAATAGTAATGTCCAAAACTTCGATACAATTTGTTGATGTGTTCATTTTGTTGCATACAAAATGCAAATACATGTATATGAAAATCCTCTACATTGCAGATAGAAAATCATGCACTAAATCGTCGCATCAAAGGTATGTGTTTCCATTTCGTTTTTGATAAATAGTTTCATATCTTGAATTTATCACATCAAGTTTTACTTTAAACTGTTGAAGCATGGTAAGTTCTAAGTAAATACAATTCAGTGAAGCACTTCCATACATACATATATCTATATTTACGCGCGTCAAAACAAATTTCAGAAGGTCAATAGTCTTGCATCATCTTCATCGTCTAAGAAAAAAGAGGGAACAGCTACTAATCCCTGATTTTACTTGACGATATGCATATTAAACTGAATAACTTTACGATCAATAACGTAAACATTGTTGTTGTTGTTTTTGTATTTTCATAAGCCAAATTGGTAGCTTTGACAATACATCATACGAAACCGAAATGCAGCAATGTACCGGACGTGTATACGAGAATCTATCGTTACAACATGCTGATTCAAGGGCGTTTTCTACAGACGACATGACAACATATGATGTTATAGATAAAAGCTAATAACATTCAAGTACAGAAATGTCTTTAAACACTGTATCATAGAGATAACATTACCACTATCCCAATATAGCCAATGCTTAAGCTGCTATTGATCGTGTGATCACCTTGTATGTGTCGTCTAAACTTGTCGGGTGGTTTTAGTCCTAAAATTAAATATCCTTACTCGTATATCTAAGTGAGAATGACATATTTTATGTACGGAATATTCTTTTTGATTAATTGCTTTGCGAAAGCATTTAAATGTTGACCTTTAGTGAGAAATGAATTTGTCATATTTAATGAGTTACTGCAGCATTTCCTTTATTTAAGAAAGGAGGTTTTGTTTAAAATCAAAACCAAACGAATGAAAACGGAGTGCTGTTATTGAAAGTGTGTAAGCGTGTAAAAAGTGTTCGCGCAAAGTCATTACGAAGGCATTTCATACAGATTAAATTAACTAATACCTAATAGCATAATATTGCATAGATAATTCTATCTGCTTAAAGCATAAAAACATCATTGGAAAATTCAAACTTTTCAAGAACAAGTGATTTTACAAATTCATGACACATATATATAAAAATGTATAATCTCAAAAAGGGCAATAATGATATAGCCATACAACATTAACTCACAAATTAAAATAATATGGTGTTATCATAGCCATGGTTACAAAAGAAGGGTTTCTGCTAAGATTTAATATATTGAATGTCACAGTCATTGAAAGTATCTATGATGACTGCTATGGGAATCTTTTCATCAAGGGCTCCAACATGATTTAAATAAGCAGACGTGTTTAATATTGCATTGTGTATGCGTTTCTTTTTTCATATAATTCAGAGACTAAATATCGTGTATGAAAAGTCCTTTGTCATCAACCCACGGACACTCTGCTTGCAGTTGTACTTAATTGCTTCGTGTATCATGTATGTGTTGTTTAATTTTTCTGGTCTGCAAGAAAACGCATATATTTATATAGCAAGAGGCGAAAAAAAATACATTAATAAAAAATGTGCTCTATTGTTTTCATTATAATCATAATAGATACATAACATGAAGTTCAATAGTTCATACAAAATTAGCATGAATAAACAGTATGCTGCTAAACTATCAAGATGCGACCAAAAGACACCAGTTTCAACAGTAGGCAACATTTCAACGTATGAAATAAAACGGAATTGATTTACAGATAAATTATGTTCAAATTTGATATTTGAAAATACTAAAAAGTTGCTTTACTATCTCTTTTCAAATGTGAAATAAGCATTTTAGATAAAGTTAAAATGGAGAAGATGTGTTACATTTTAAATTCTGTATGCTATAGGTAAAAATATTATAAAACAGGACGTAAATTTAAGAAAGAAGCAAACTTAGCCAAGCCAGTAATAAGGATTGCAGCTTCGAAAATATAGTTTGTACATTATCTTATTTAGATTTGACATAACCAGTAAGAATTCCGTACATTTCAATACTTTTAACAATAAAAGTATTTTACCCACAGTCGAGCATAATATAGCTTTAAATTGAACGGTAAGTGATAATTGTATGATCAGCCATTCCTCCCGTTTACCCTCTCACAATATTAGTAACTGTTCAAATGTTTTTCTTTAAAGCGATATAATTCATTGTAAGTATTTGCATTTTGCCAGAACCATATCAGACTCGAGGTTGTTGAAACTTCATTGGCAATTGTTATGTCGAGAAGACCCGAGATGTATAACAGAATGTTTTGGTTCTTGGGTTGTACGAAAATGTGCTCTATGAATCACTGTGTATACATTTTCACACAATTCTTATTGTAATATGTTTAACATTTGGACCACTTTGAAGTTCTCAGACCTATACTCAAACATTTCATTATCAGTTATTTATAATAAACTGTTCTTTCAAATAAGATATTGACAGAACAAAACAATATTCAAATATTCTTTACACCGAACATTCTTTTACATGTTCGAAATAAAACTGACACATTTTTGCTACAGTAACTAACAAATGCATTCGAGGTAGAATAAATGACTTCCATCGACATCCTTGGAACCGACGGAAGTAATAAAAATAGTTATAAGAGTTTGCATATGTATGTTTCAGTAAAGCGCATTAAATATAAGTGAATTAATGCGAAGTGGGTTTTTATATAATAAGCTGATATGCAGTTTGACAATTGTAATAGTGCGGTTGACTTATTCGATGCAGAAGGAAGGGAAATGAAATATTATTAACGCGCTGATTGTAACAACATGTCAAACTACTCGTATACACAGGAGGGTTTGCTCATATTTGAATGAAGACAATACCATTTATCAAATATCTTTATAATGTTAAATTCTTCAAGGTTATTTCTAAGGAACAAATTTAAATTAAAACATTGAAATAATATATTTTAAATTTCATATTATATAATTGTAGATAAGTTTAGCAAAGCTAAAAATTTTTTCTCTCTATATTTAAATAATTGGCTGTGCCTGTTTCTGGTGGCTTGAAAGTGCATAATTTATGCTCTCCTTGATGGTGAGACGATTTTTGAAACTTTCTACTCTTTAAAAGTTTCACCAGTGCTTCTCTCTCTATAAAAGTATATAGAGCGTTTAAGCTGCAATATCGATCGTTTAGTATACACAATTCCATGGTTTTACGAGAAATATATAAGAAATAAAAGAAATCTAGGAGACATAACTACAAATAACAGAAACGGAAATAACAAATATTTTAATATTCGGAACCCATCTAATGTAAACAGTAACTTACACAATGTTCTCATTGTCAAAATAACTGTTCGTCAACTGTGACTTTAAAACTATTTTTTTTCAATACATCTACTGTTTTTGATACAAGTGATCTCAAGATAAAAATTGTACAAGTCAATAAAATGCAAACTTATTTTCTTTCTTAACGATTTATTACGATTTGGAAAAGTGATCCACTAGAAGCATAATTCACAACATAAATTACATAAAAATTGCAGACTCGGTTTTGTTGAGTCTGTATATTGGGGAACATTAAAGAATGCAACATCCCTTACATCCCCGTTACTTGAGTGTAAGTTTTTAAACAGGGCAGACAAACATATCCGCCGCCACAAGGCAGTCAAGCATATCCGCTGCTGTCGCAGGTCAGTTATGATTAATAGTCTGCTACTTAATTATTTTATATTGTTTTAACGATAAAGAATGATGGCCTAGATCTGAATGGACGAGGGATGTTTCATGTTTAATTATCCCTCATGTATAGATTCAATCAAACTGAGTCTGATGTTTCATGTAATTTCGTTGTGATTATTGCTTCCGAAGGATCACTCCATTTCCAGATTTCTTTAAACATTTGTTTCTATATAGTATGTTAAAGTGAGCATGTTGCTGTTTGTTGACGAACTGTTGTTAAGAAGACTAAGGTCTCTACAAAATAAGAAGAAATAAAATAAATAACTATGTAACTTCAACTCAACATTAGCCAACTATTTACCTGTTTCATGCTCTATTTCTAACATTTACTCATATAAAGGCTACGGTTTAATAAGAAATTTATGATTATAGCATAAATAACACTGCGTACAATATACATTTTTCTAACGTTTTGGTCTGTAAGCATATTTGGAATTTGTTAGCTATAATTGATTAAGAGAATCCATAATTGAATGCGCTTGTCGATTGTGTGAATGCTTAATGGATTAAGAGTTGAATCCATAAACTTAATAACATTTTAAGTTCTTGTATATCAAGAGAATCCGTAATGGAATTTGTAAGCTCTTGTATAGGCCTATCCATTAACGTCACTTTACAATCTGACGTTTTTACTTTATTCTAACTTTAAGTATACTGATAGAAATTCCATTGAATGAGCATACTATCTAAAACGTTCGTATTACCATTATTCATTTGAATCTCGCGTATCTGTGTACAAAAAGGGGAAGGTACCGGTAATTGAAAGACCTATTGCAAATTGATATCAACATTCTCCGAACAACCCTCGTAGGTATCTATGTATAAATAACTACATAAACGTGTCGTTGTCTGTTTCAACTGAAGGGTATTAAGGTCAAGGGCACCGCCTTTCCAGAGGTTGTATATACGATCTGTTTCAAAGATTAACATGAGATAGTTCATAAGCATCCTTTAAAGAATTATGACAATTTAATGAAAGAATTCAAGTAAGAAAAGAGAACGTTATGTAACTATGTAAAATGTGAAGTTCTGCTTAAGATGGTGTTATGGTGCAAGTGAACGTAGCCGGTATATCGCATACACTACTGCTACTGAACAGGCCCAATGAAATATGATAAACAAGATCAATAAGGAATGGCGGCGTCCAATGAACGCAACTTTCAAACGACACAGCAACAAGAACCAGCGACAAGGAGCCCTGGAGGACCCAAACAAAAAACAGGGCACGGTGCAAGGCAGAGCACAGACAGGATACTAATATAAATGATACTTAAAATGAAATAATAGTAACTGACAAGGAAATTAAAGAAAACGAACAAAATCGTGGTTGCAAAATTTTCAATTTTGACGTTTTGTCGATTTTAAAGCTTCTCAATTTACTATTGTTTTAACATTGCTTTCATTTTCAGAATTATCGCATACAAAAATAAATATTCCCTATTTAAATGCCTTTGAAACGCCAGACCTTGGGGAGGGTGACAGTTGTAGGCAATTTGCGCTACGGTTAATAACATGCTTTCAACATAATCATTTTTTTCTGTGGCCTTTCGGGTTGCCGGTTTTACTACTGTATGTACAGCTTCAAAAGCAATGGTCGCCAATATTTTTTTCAGGATCCGATCCTATCGAATAAGCTTCTAATACAGTATTTAAGCCATTTTAACATGTATGCATAAATATGTTAAATGCATGTTATACTTTGCATTATTTTAACATATGAATGGAAAATTAAAAGCGAAAGAAATAAATAAGATAAAACTATTGCGAAATATGTCATGGATGTGTTATATGCATACATGATAGGTGATTGTTAAGGTTTCTTGAAACGGAAGTTCAAATGCCCGACCGGCTTGTTACAGAATTTAAGCTCTAGTCTTTTTTACAACTAGGTATTTTCAAGTCCAAGTAAGTTTGCTTAGTGTAGGTTTCCTAAAAACACATCCGAACTTTTCTGTGAATAAACATTGAAACAAAAAGGTATATATACACAGGATTACTAAGAAGTTGTTCACAAGTGCCGGTATTACAAAGTCCATTTCCGCAACATGCGGTACACACGTTAACTAATGACCGTCTCCCAACATTTCCAAATATATTGCTATCACGACTTTGCCTACATTCTTCCATTTTTTTATACGCCCGTTTGAAAAACGGGACGTATTATGGGAACGCCCCTGGCGGGCGGGCGGTCGGGCGGGCGGTCGGGCGGGCGGCGTCCAATTTTGTCCGGAGCATATCTCCTACATTGTATTGGAGGGATTTTAATGAAACTTCATATAAATTTGTTCACCACTATGAGGACAGTGTCGCGGCACATTGAACCAGGGTCTCTAGGTCAAAAGGTCAAGGTCAACACTTTAGAGCTTCATTGAAAAATGCTTGTCCGGAGCCAAAAAAACCCTTTCA